CTTGCAAAGACAAAAAAAAATACCTATCTCTCTACAACAAATAAAAGTACACATCTCTCCATAACAAAATGGAACCCGAAAGAAAAAGAAATGCTTCTGCTGTGTGGGATCATTTTGATCTTTTAACTTCAAATAAGGTAATAGTTTGTCTGCCTTTGTTTCAGTGTAATCTATCAGAATAGGAAAAACAGCAATGTGACTTGCAGCGTAAATTATTTATTTCATTTTATGCAGGTTGAATGTCGCATCTGTTCTGCAGAGCTTTCTTACACAAACAAAAGCACCTCCTCAGCGTTTAGGCATTACAGAGCCAAACATGAAAATGAGGAGACAAACACACTGAGAATGAACACAGGTCGGCCTATATTGACACTGAACAGCTTTATCATCATTTTTTTATTTATTAATATGTGTTTTATTATTTTGAAATCAAGCATCTGGGAAGACTGTTCTGGACCAGGCTGTCGTGAATTTTATTATAAAGGAGTGCCAACCCCTTATTATTGTGGAGAGTGTCGGAGAGAAACATTCCAAGATCAGAGGATCCTTTAACGAATATATCCTTTTCTGAATAGAAATTTATAATAAACTCTGAGTCAATTACATTTAAATGGGTAATATTACATTCACAATACTTTCATTTTAATTTTCACTTAATGTCATTCAGAATATATTTTAAAGATGTCTTAAATATTTGCAATGTAAAATATATAAAATGATTCCATGGAAAGTACAATACTTTACAGTGTATACAAGTATGACTAGGTCATTGAATCAGTGTCTGTTGTGAGTCTCAAGTAAGTTGCCTGCAATGATATTTAATGTCCAGCAGGTGTCAGTATGGAGTAAACCAGCAACACTGTGTCGACGCAGTATCGATACAGTTTGGGGAATGTGCTGAAACGCTTCACGAGGCCTCATCTACCCATCACTAGTAACAACCACCCGAATTACTTTTTTCGCTATACCAAAAAAAGTAGAGGCGGCTGCTCGACTTGACTGAGATGGATGCCTTCCTCAAACCACGATCCAAAGCACACGAGACTGAAATCCCGTGCGGTGTCGAGAGATTTAACATTGCTATATTATTGACCTACTTCACTCGAACATGATATGAACAATTTAATATACGCTCTCTGCATATCATGTGGTTTCCACACTATATAGTTATACTTAACTTTAAAGCATGAGGCAATTGTGTTAAATGCATGCAAGATGCTTATGTAAATCCAAGAGATGGCCAATCCCTTTTTTTCAGTGTGTATCCGGGTTTCCGGACTCATGACCTCCCCAGCTGTCAGAGGTAAGAGTCACGTACATGTCCCTGTTGTCTGAATTGGCCATATTTTTGTCAATTTGTGCTTCTTATGTTTTTGCAGAGATCACCTGCAGATCGTTCTCTACATCGATTGCTAGTATGTTTTTATTTTGTGTCATACGTTTAATTATTTTACCTTGTAGTAAACAGGTGTGTTTATAGGTTGGAGCACTTTGTTTGAGAATCGGGCGGCGCCGTTTGATCGGTGTATAACTTTGACTTGTTACGATCTTACTATTACTTCTGTCGTAATCGTCTCTTGCAAATGCTAATTTCACGATACATTACAGACAGTGTGGTCTGGGTGGGCGTCTGATAGCTTTACAGCGGGACCGCTACTGCTTCTCTGCGCTAAATTACAGACGTGTTGCTTTGACTTTCTTTCGTTTGGATTTCCTTCTGCCTGTTTCAGGAAGTGTATGGACAGTAATTAGTTTAAAGTCGGCTCTTTGTCTCATGCACAAGCGACTTGGATTCATGCGGAGAGCCAGAACATCTAAAAACAAAGTTTTTATAATAGTGTTTGAGGAATATGTTGTATATATGGAAGCCTGTTAAGCTGCGTTTCATGTATTGAGTTATTCAAATAGAGCAGTTTGTATGTAAAACTTCACATAACTGAGTCATCTGTTCTAAAATTAAGATTCCATTAATTTTGTGTTTGCGTGGTGGGGTGAAGGAAAACCAGTAAAGGTAATTAAACGATACTGATAACGTCACCTAGAACTACACCCCAGAGAATATTACACTAGCCAGTGCAACAGTTTTAACAGTTATAAAGGCACACAGGCACGTTATTAACAAAGAAGAGGCGTGGCAAATCAGTTTCATTAAACAAAAGTTTATTTAACAAAAAAACAGAAAATAATATAGAGTCGCAGGAAGGAAAACGTTTCCTATTTGCTCTCATGTATGTTTCTTTGATTTTCGTGCCTAGTCCATCCTTGTTTCATCTCAGTGTTTTGTACCTGCGTCTGTCTGTTTTCACTATGTTTTGCTCCATGGTCTCACCTAGTTCGTTGTGTCTCCACATCTATCCCCAGTCTGTGTGTGAGTGTGTGTATGTGTACTTCCTGTTTTATTTTGATAGTCTCCCATCTCCAATTTTGCTTCCCTCATCATCATTCAAATTCTGTTCTGCTTTGTTCCCCATGTGTGTCCACTCTGGCCTGATCTCCTCTTTTGTATTGTTTGTGTGATATGTGACAGAGAAAGTATTTGCCTAGCTTCTGGGCGTTGCCCTGGCTGCCCGGTCAGACATCATACCTTTTGATATGAGTTTTCTTTCATTTAATAAAAAGCCAAATTAAATATGCTGACATGGAAAGGAAGAATTTAACACTCAGCTAACATATAAAATGCCCATTTTAGTCAAGCTGGAACAAGCCACTATACTCGTTTGAGTCACAAAATTAATAACCCAGGCAGAGTGTGTGAAAGCAACAGAAACATCAATATGAAATACGAGGTCTGTGATTAACTGTCCACACTTACACAGGTTAAACACCTAGATTAGACATTAGCTCTCCTTTTTTCTTCAGTGCACCAAACACAAAACATACACAAAGTATGAACTCATCTCTCATACAAAAGTAACTCAATTTGAATGACATCTAACCAACAACTAACCGTTCCTGTTTCCTTTTGATCTTTCTGCCCCACCTCTCAGGCACGTTTCTACACATTCAAACACTGCAGAGCAATACAGAGGAAACAACTGTGCAGCAGAACATCAGCAGAGACAGAAAATCATATCAACTATAGCCGATATGGCCAGCAAATACACTCGCCTTGGTGAGTATATTTTAAAAGACTAATTTATATCATTAATTTTATGTAAATCTAATAAAACTCAACCCCCACTTACAAAACTCAACATGTATCAGACATTATTTTAATTTATCTACTTGTTTGATCTCTTCCTCTAATAATTTCTCTTTGTTATTACTACTGTTAATGGTTTTCTAAGTACGTTGTACACTCTGATCCAAATAAGAAGTTCAGTCTACAAATCCAAAAGCTGGTTCATGAAATGCCCAAAATGAACATCAACTATCAGAAGGTAAAATAAAAGTTTGACTGAAAAGTTATTTTCTTTTATTAAAACCCAGAGTCAGAAAGAACGTAGGAAAAGAAAATTAAAAGAATTTATTAGGAAAATAATTGTTTTTCAATCAATGTCATCAGCAGTTTTTTGATGAAAAAAGAAGTGGAAAAAATAAGATTTGAAAAGTTTTTCGACTAAAACAGAGGAACAATAGAAGGGAGGTATTTTCTTGTTCGTCTCCTTTGACATTTGTTCTGTTCACTAATTAACGTGATTCTTTACCCTGCTTCAGATTAATGGTCCACTCACCAAATCTACCATGACTTTATTTTCTTGTTCGATCCAATTCCATCCAATTCTAAAATATTTGGAAAATCTAAATAAAGCCAGAATGCAATGATTAGAAAATCTCACACCCAGATTTTATTTACAATAGAACATAGAAAACGCTTCAAATGTTTAAACTTAGAAAATTAAAATATCTGTGTGCCTTTTATTTATTTAATTTAATGTGATTTAATGTAATGTGGTGACAGAAGTCAAAGGGGGACATTGACAGTGTCAGAAGATTTCTCTTTTTTCTCAGCACATTATCACATATTCCCACAGAGTCATGCACCTACTGGTTAAATATTACAATACTGTAGGTATCATCATATATGGCGCACATGAGGAAGACATCATACAGAGTTTGAAGGGTGACTGAGAGATGTAGTCTTGACTTCATGATCTATAATAGTTGACACAGTAAGAAGGTTACTGGTTCTTTTGGGATCCCCTTGAAGAAGCCTAAAGTGTTCTATGAATGTATGATTGATGTGTGAATTCTTGTTAAAAGGACTTTGAGTGGTCATTAAGAGTAGAAACGTCCTACACGAATGCAAATATATTACATTTTCACCTCCAATGTAACAAAATAATATAAAATTAAACAAACTAGAATCCATTTGGTCCTGAGATTAATCTAACAGAGAGCTATCAGACATTAATACAGAGACCAAAGGAAGGTTTGGGAGGGACCTGAGCTGTTGTTTCAGTGAGTGTGGGGAAAGACGTGCAGGTTCCCCACATGCATAAAGTCTGAATGAAAATTTAACACTGAAATTTAACACACTATCCCAACTTTTCTTTTGATTGACGTTGTACTTCTTTTACAAGAACACTTACAAAAGCAGTCCTGTCATGTCTCTATAACTCTGTAACTTCAGATTGGAAAAATGTTAAATATTACCTTTATTATACAAAATTGTTTGTTAAAAAAGAAGCCATCAGTGGGAAACCCAACACCAGTCTTCCTTCTCTCACTCCTGCTGATCAGCTCTTGTAGGTTTTCTTTTCTTACAAAACATCTCTAGTTCATTCAGGTTTGATGGCTTCTGAGCATGGACTGCTCTCTTTAACTTGAGACAGATTTTCAATAATATTCAGGTCTGGGGACTGAGATGGCCATTCCAGAACGTTGTACTTGTTCCTCTGCATGAATGCCTAGTGGGTTTTGAGCAGTGTTTCGGGTCATTGTCTTGTTGAAAAATCCAGCCCCGGCGCAGCTTCAGCTTTGTCACGGATTCCTGGACATTGGTCTCCAGAATCTGCTGATACTGAGTGGAATCCATGTGTCCCTCAACTTTGATAAGATTCCCAGTCCCTGCACTGGCCACACAGCCCCACAGCATGATGGAACCACCACCATATTTTACTGTAGGTAGCAGGTGTTTTTCTTGGAATGCTGTGTTCTTTTTCCTCCATGCATAACGCCCCTTGTTATGCCCTAATAACTCAATTTTAGTTTCATCAGTCCACAGCACCTTATTCCAAATGTGCTTTAGCAAACCTCAAGCGGCTCTGTTTGTGCTGTGGGCAGAGAAAAGACTTCCTCTGCATCATTCTCGCATACAGCATCTCCTTGTATAAAGTGTGCTGAATGGTTGAACGATGCACAGTGACTCCATCTGTTGCAAGATGATGTTGTAGGTCTTTGGTGCTGGTCTGTGGGTTGACTCTGACTGTTCTCACTGTTCGTCGCTTCTGTCTATCTGAGATTTTTCTTGGTCTGCCACTTCGAGCCTTAACTTGAACTGAGCCTGTGGTCGTCCATTTTCTCAATATGTTCCTAACAGTGGAAACAGACGGCTTAAATCTCTGAGACAGCTTTCTGTATCCTTCCCTTAAACCATGATGGTGAACAATCTTTGTCTTCAGGTCATTTGAGAGTTGTTTTGAGACCCCCATGTTGCTACTCATCAGAGAAAATTAAAAGAGGGAAACTTACAATTGACCCCCTTTAATACTCTTTCTTATTATTGGATTCACCTGTGTATTTTGGTCAGGGGTCACTGAGCTTACCAAGCCAATTTGAGTTCCAATAATTAATTCTAAAGGTTTTGGAATCAATAAAATGACAACAGTGCCCAAATTTATGCTCCTGCCTGATTTTGTTTAAACAATTATTGCACACTTTCTGTAAATCCAATAAACTTCATTTCACTTCTCAAATATCACTGTGTGTGTTTCCTATATGATATATTTAACTGACATGTTTTATTGTAACAACCAACGATTTATACAGGAAAATAATGACTATTAACAAGGTTGTCCAAACTTTTGCATCCCAATGTAGAAAGTATACACTGTTTGTCCTCTGAGTGTGAATTGTGAAAATAAACTTTAACTTTAACATTTTTTTAATACTCTTCAGCAAAACAAGAAGAACCAGAGAAGCCACAGAAGCCAGAGCTCAGGATTTTGCTTCTTGGAAAAACTGGAGTTGGAAAGAGTGCTTCAGGAAACACCATCCTAGGAAAAGGGAATGCTTTTGTATTGACATCATCAGAGTGTCAGAAGGAAACGGGAGAGTTTGAAGGTCAAAAACTGGCTATAGTTGATACTCCAGGTCTGTGTGACTCCAGTAGAACTGAAGAGGAGTTGACAGCAGAGATGGAGAGAGCCATCTGCTTTGCTGCTCCTGGTCCTAATGTGTTCCTGGTTGTGATTCAGGGAAACTGCTTCACAGAAGAAGATCAAGAAACAGTGAAAATTGCTCAGAAGATGTTTGGAAAAAGGTCAGCATGTTCCACATTAGTCTTGTTCACCCATGGAGATGACCTGAAGTCAGATGGAAACACCATAGAAGAATTAATCAGTAAAAATCCAGCTCTCAGTGACTTCATCAGTCAGTGTGGTGGAGGATATCACCTCTTTAACAACAGAGACACGGATCCCTCTCAGGTCAGAGAGCTGCTGGAGAAAGTCAACACCATGGTTCAGAGAAATGCAGGAAGATACTTCACAGTTGAAATGTTCAGAGAGGCTGACCTTCGGATTGTTCTTATTGGGAAAACTGGAGTTGGGAAGAGTGCATCAGGAAATACCATCTTAGGAGAAAAAGCTTTTAAATCCTCATCATCTTTTTCCACAGTAACATCAGAGTGTCAGAAGAAAACAGGTCTGTTTGATGGTCAAAAACTGGCTGTAATTGATACTCCAGGTTTATTTGACACCAAAAAAATTGAAGAGGAGGTGAAGGAAGACATCAGTAGCTGCATCAACCTTGCTGCTCCTGGTCCTCATGTGTTCCTGGTTGTGATTCAGGCCAACAGATTCACAGAAGAAGAACAAGAAACTGTCAAAATCATTCAGAATATGTTTGGAGAACAGTCAGCAAGTTACACTATGGTCTTGTTCACCTGTGGTGACAATCTGGAGAGAGATGAAGTCACCATAAAAAACTTGATCCATGATCATGAAACTCTCTCTGATTTCATCAGTCAGTGCGGTGGAGGATATCATGTCTTTAACAACACAGTCAAAAATCCCTTTCAGGTCAGAGAGCTGCTGGAGAAGATCAACACAATGATTGCGAGAAATGGAGGAGGATACTACACCAATGAAATGTTCAGAGAAGCTCAGAGAGCCATGAACAAACCAGAAGCCGACCTCAGGATTGTTCTTGTTGGGAAAACCAGAGTTGGAAAGAGTGCAGCAGGAAACAGCATCTTACTGGGAAAAGTATTTAGATCAACATCTTCCTTTCTAACACCACAGTGTCAGAAGGAAACAGGTCTGTTTGAAGGTCAAAAACTGGATGTAGTTGATACTCCAGGTTTATTTGACACCAAAAAAACTGAAGAGGAGGTGAAGGAAGAGATCAGTAGATCCATCCCCTTTACTGCTCCTGGTCCTCATGTGTTCCTGGTTGTGATTCAAGCCAACAGATTCACAGAAGAAGATCAAGAAACCGTTA